AGGGTCTCACAATGTAGCCCTAGCCAGAGATCTTCCTGACTCTGACTCCCAAGTGCTAGGATTAAAGGAGAGATTCTTTTTTTTTCAAATCACAATATTTCACTGAGTAATTATGACAATGTTCGGTGTAAACATTAATCTGGTATTTATGGCATAACAGGCACTGTGCTTCAAGTATTAAGGGACCACTTTATTTATACTTAACAATTCATTACATCAATGTAAAACCACTGAGATGAATGAGATCATCCCAATTTCCAGGGGAAGTAATGAAAACATGCAGACAAGCAGCTGACTCTAGAGCCAGCAAAGCTCTTAGAAACTGTACTTGGGTGCCTTGGAAAACAATCTACTATATTTTACAGATAAGGGAAAGGAGGAGGAAGAAACTTAACCTCTTTTCCAGTATATGGAAAATTTAGTGTTTGTATCTTGGTGCCCGACTCTAATCCAGAGCCATTTCCCATGACAGTATGCTGTCTCTTATACTAAAAACTTACATTTGCATAAAATAACCATTTACAAACAATATTTCGCTAGACATTTTGCAACCATCTGGTAAATAACCCAGTATTCCCAATTTTAAAAGATGGAGTCATTACAACAAACTGAGCAACTAGAACGTTTTTAGAGAACTAGAATTGACATGATGCCTTTTTTGTCCAATGTAACTTAAAATTCAAACAAATGATTTTTTAAAAGTGCCTTCTATATTTAAAGAGCAAATGTCAATTTGAACCCTGGCACACCCATGTTTCTGATCACCCTAGGAAATTTCTAATACATGTGCAGCAATTTTCGTTCTGATTTCTAGTAGTTTTCATGGGTTATTTTACCTGACTTTGGAGTATTCGAGTTCCTGGTGGGCAGAGGAGGAGACTGCTAGCCTACCTTGCAACCACAGCTGAAAACCGGACTGAGGCTGGACCCTGGAGAAAGGGATGGATACCTATATACTAGGAGCTCACGACAAAGTGCAGGGGCTGACTTGATGCTAAGTGCCCGCGCGTCGCAGACACGATTCACGTTCCTCTTTCCCTTTCCCACGTAAATGCCACCTCAGTGCAGGAAAGAAAACTGAAAGCGTCCCCAGTGGATCAGGGCACGGCAGAAATTGAGCAAGACACGGGAGGGGACGACAGAGACAGGGCCCGCGGCGGAGGGGTTGTGGGGACCGCAGGCGGCGGCGGGGGCTGCCCTGGAGCGGAGAGCGGCCGGGCCGCAGCGCGGAGGCTGGTGCCCGGCTACCACTCAGCTCCCGCGATCCACTCACCCTAAGCCCAGGTTACGTAGGGCCGCCCCCAAGGCCACCGGCTTTCGGTTCCCCAATGTTGGAGACAGACGGAAAACAAACCGGGTCGCCAGGGGTCACCACGGACTTCCGGTTTCCTCGAAGACACCGCTGCTTTCTCCGCGAAGGTGGCCGCCACAGGTGCACCGAGGAGGGAGTCCCATGTCTTCGGCCCCGGCGCCCGCGGCCTCACAGACAGGAGCCCTGGAGGTCACAGCAGAGCCGAGCAGGCGCGGCCCGAGGCCGCCCGAGCAGGCCCGTGACCCAGCAGCACACACGTCACCCCTGAGCCGCCGGCGCCGGCCGCCCTCTTGACGGAGAACGAGGCCGAAGTGGTTCTGGAAGGGTCCAGGAATGCCGCTCCCTACGGGCTCTGCGCCAGGGCCGCGCCGCGCAACGAAACCGGAAGCAGGATCTGAGGGAATCCCAGGGCTCGGAGAAGCCTCACTGAGGAGGGGCGGGGGCACGACGTACTACTAGTCCCATGAGCCTCCGCGGTGGGGCGGGGCGTACTGCGAGTCCCGTGAGTCTCCACGGCAGTGTATACTACGAGTCCCATGAGTCTCCGCGACCGTCGCGGCGACCTACCGCGGGGAGGCGGAGTGGAGCTGGGTAAGCATTGTCAGCTTGCGGCCTTTTGTCGAGGCTCGCGTTCGCGGCGCCCTCTAGCGCTCCCTTTTCATTCTGCGTCCGCTTAGATTCCCCTGGCTGCCCCTGCGGCTCGGCTTGGTGGTGCCCTGACGGGATGTTATCCACTCCTGGTGGCTGCTGACTGGAATGCTAGTTGCGCGTCTGGCTTCCCAGGAATCCCCGGTGGCCTAGGTTTCAGATCGCGTGGTGCACACCCAGGCTGTCCTTCGAATTGTCCAAGATCCCTTATTCACACACCAGGGCCCAGGATACCCTTCAGTGCAGTGAGCGACAGGGGGATGTGGCAAACTTGTACTGGTGTCTCTAGACATAGCCCCCGGCTACCCCCTGGTTATTTCGAGACAGGTTCTTATGTATCTGAGGCTGGTCACGAACCTGTTTTCTAACACCCGGTGAAGTTTTCTAGGCATATAGCTCAAGTTGGCCTCAGACTCTGTGTAGCAGAGGATGACCTTGAACTTCTTGTCCTGCCTCTACTTTCCCAAAGTTTTATGCATTCTGGGCAAGCATTCTGCCAACTGAGCTCCTCCCCAGTCCTTAGATGATGGTTTTGAGCTGTAGAGTTAGGCGTAGTTGAAGGTTCATTACAACATTAGGGGGTCACAGACAGAAGGAACCCTCCCCTCAAGTTCTGCTTTAATGTGACAGCCATAGTTATAGGAAGTTCATTTATTGCTGGCTATGAATGCTAATGCCCCTTGGAACCTCCTTAAATACTTTTTTTTTTTTTTAATGAAGCCTTACATTTTGTCAGTGTTCTGTTGAAAGGTCTTTCTGCATGGTGGATGTTCGTTTTGAAGTCAGGGTCTCTCTGTGTAGTCCTAGCTGGCCTGGAACTTGCTAAGTAGACCTGAATGGCCTTGAACTCAACAGAGATCCCCTACCTCTGCTCTTCTGATTGCTGGGATTAAAGGTCTGTTTTACCACAAAGATGTTAATAAAACAGCCCAACTGACTGCTCAACAGTATGAGTTCAGTTCAAGGGTTTACTTAAAATACATGTTTGTATTGTTGCTAGGCTTCTCTTTTTTATTGAAAGTGAAAAATCACAGCTGTTATAAATAAAGGCCACACTTTGGTTACATGATAGTTTAGAAGACTTTTAAAACCTATATTAATATATTCAAAAAGGAGATCTATTAACTTCAGTAATCAGGCTGAGATGGAAGAGAACCCTGTTTGTAGTATTTTGAGCAAGAACCAGGGGTTAAATTTTATTGCCTCCATGATGCTCTGAATTTTCAATTTTCAATAAAAGAAAATCACAAGGCATTCTATTTTGGACAATAGAGCTTTGGTGAAAGCTAACAAATGAATTGGCTAAGACATTTCAGTGAGAGAAAATGGCACAATTCAATATTTTAAAATCTGGAGAAAGACCTGGGTTTTGGGGTTTGTTTTGTTTTGTTTTGTTTTGTTTTGTTTTGGTCTTTTTGAGACAAGGTCTCCCTGTAGCCCCAGCTGGCCTGGAACTCCCTCTGTAGACCAGGCTGGCCTGAACTTACAGAGATCCCCTGCTTCTGTCCCCCCAGTGCTGGGATTAAAGGCTTGCACCACCACCCCCAGCGAAAGACCTGTTTTTCCTTTTAAAATATATACATCTGAACTATAACTACTTAATTACTTAACCATATTAATAAAAGTTCTGGCTTGACCAAAATGTAGAAGTTTAATGTAGTCAAAACATGTTAGCTTTTCGTTTTGAGGCACTATAGTGCCTCTATGTTGTGACAAAATATGATCCAAATTTTTATTACATTTAATCAGAAATAGTCACTTTCTATACATTTATATACATCCCCTTTACCTAGCCAATAAATTATTAGAGAAAACTTGTCACAGAGTGCTGTTATAATCTCATGTTAAAGTGTAATTACAATCTTGATACAGAGGAAAAGACTTCTTGATGGGAAGTGTAAGAAGTTTCATAGGAAAGGAGAATGGCTAGACGGTCATTGTCAAACTAGATAACAGAGGGACTTAAAGGACAGGTTTTGCTCCTTGCCCTCCAAGGTCAACTAAGTTCCAGGGGACTATGGAATATCTCTCAAAATGTCCTGTAACTGTCGTGAGTCACCTGTCCTCTTGAGCAAGGAGGCCATGGAGACCCCACCAGATGGACTTGAACCAGTGTCCAGTCTACAAAGAGGAGGGTCAACACAGGAAAAATATCCTCCATGCTTCCAAGTGAAGCCAGCCACAGTTGAGCAGAACCTATGACCTATCTTCACATAGATGGAACTGGTAAAAGAAAGGAACTAGGGGGCTCTTCCCAAGTCCATGTGACCCCTGAGGAACAGATCCTCAAACAACCTTAAGAGTAAAAATAAATTGGTTTATTTGGGCCAACTGTATGGTCTTAAACACCCAAAAGGAAAGTATAACCAAAGATTCAAGTGATCATTATATTTCTTTAAGAGTCCATGTGTATAGCTAAAAGCTACATAACAAGAAACAATGCCAGACAGGAGATACCTTCCTTTGAGTTGTTGGCCAGGGTGGCCCAAGTGACTCCCAGACAATAACCCAGCATAGAACTGGGAAAATGAACAGCACACCTCAACCTTATCTAAAGGAATGTTGGCAACTGACTGCTGCTAGATGAGGAAGAGCTGATTTTCCTAAAACAAGGAACTCTAATAGGCTGATTAGACTCAGCAGATGGACTTGCACTGGGGAACGGCTGGGGGCACTGACAATACAGTGGACAGTAACAGGGATGAGAGTATATGGGCTCCAGTGGGGGCGGGGAGTATGGGAGGGTGCTATTTGGGATGTGGGTATAAAGAAGAATAAGATTGTTTGGGATGTTCTGTATGAAATACACATAAAAAAATCAATAAAAAAATAAAAATTTATTTGTCATATCAAGATTATGTATAGCAATAATTCCTAAAAAATCATGCCACATTTTTGTTTAGCCCATATTTGGATGGTACCTTTTATGTACTTGGTTTTGTTTTGTCTTCTGTTTAGGGGGATTTTTTTTCCCAAGTGGTAAAATGAAAATATTTTTCATAATATTGTAAGATCCTCCAATCTTTTCCTAATTTTTATTAAGTGAAATACATTCTAGCCTCCTTTCTCAAAACAATTTTTGTTATTTTTATTTTGTGTGTGACAGTGTATTGCTTGCATGTATGTGAGTGCACCTTGTCATGAAATGCTGTGGAAGTCAGAAGAGGGCATCAGAGTCCACTGGAACTGGAGTTAAGGATGGTTCATAGCTGCCATGTGGGTGCTGGGAATCAAACCTGGGTCCTCTGCAAGAGCAGTCAGTGCTCTTAACCATTGAGTCATCTCTCCAGCCCCCATATTCTATCTTCTTAAAGAACTTTAAGAAACTTCTGTTTAGTTTGAAACATTTGTCCACTTAACTTTTGCTCAGTTGCCATTCTGAAATTATTTTGTTACCCTCTTGTATAGCATACTGTATTAAGGTTCTCTAAAGAAACAGAACTGGTAGAATGAATATATAAATAGGGAGATATATATATATATATGGATTTACCAGATTAGCTTACAGGATAGAGTCAGAGTAGTCCAACAATGGCTGCATCACACTGGAGAGACTAAAACTCTGGTAGTTGCTCAGTACACAAGGCTGGATGTCTCAGTAGTCCCAATCTAGCACTGAAGGTCTGACAACTTCCAAGAGATCTGCTAGTCTTCAGTCTGTAGCAGCAAGACGAACTCACCAGTGAGAGAGAGGGCAAGTGTCAAAAAGCAAGCGTTCCCTTTTGCCATGGCCTTTTATTCGGGCTGCCATCAGAAGGTAACACTCTCATTTAGGGTGTGTCTTCAAGCTTCAGATGATCCAATCAGAAAGGTCTCTCTCATTTCAGTTGATCCCAGATACGGTCAACTTGACACCCAGGTTTAGCCGTCACATATATTAAAAACACTTTGAAAGAAGAAATCTTGTCTTCTTCATTAACAGATGTATGCCCTGTACCAAGACACATAGAAAGTGACCAGTATTTGTTGTCTGACAACTGGAATAACTTTCCAGTACTTGATAAAACTTTGTTTGCTGTCTGTCTGTCTGTCTGTCTGTCTGTCTGTGGGATAACCCTTCATGAGGGGAGGGTATATTTGTTTTTGTCTGGGGGGATATTTGTTTGTTTCATTATATTTGTTTTAATTAGTTTTTAAAAAATATCTTATTTTTTTATGTGTATGAGTGTATTACCTGCATGTGTGTAAGTGCATTCGTGTCATGCAGTGCCCACGGATGTTAGAAGAGGGAGTCATATCCCCTGGAACTGGAGTTACAGACAGTTGTTAGCCTTTATGTGGGTGCTGGGGATTGAATCCAGGTCCTTTGCAAGGGCAGTCAGTACTTTTACCACTGAGCCCATCTCTCCAAGCCCTTAATTAGATTTTTTTGAGACAAGGTCTTGCTATAAATGTAGGCTGGCCTCACACCACAGCCTCCTAAGTTCTGGGGTGAGTTTTGCAGGCTTTTGTGGCTCTCTTTGCTTCTTTGTGCTGAAGTGGAAGCAAAGAGCCTTTGTTTTTTTCTGTTTGGTTTTAGTTTATTTTGAGAGAGTGCTCTCCTGTGTCTTGCTATGAAACCCTGGACTATTTTTTTTTCCTTCTTTTTTTAGATGGGGTCTCCCTGTAACCCCAGCTGGCCTGGAACTCATTATATAGAGCAGGTTGGCCTTGATCCCACAGAGACTCACCTGCCTCTGCCTCCTGAGTGATGGGATTAAAGGCCTGTGCTACCACACCTGGCTCTACCATCTTCTGATGGAATAGTCAAAGAGATAACTGGAAAATTAGTCTCATAGGACTTTGAAAATTTCACATTCATCCCTCCCTTAAATTTGGACCCTTCAGAGGCTACAGTTCCAAATGCAGAACCTCACCATGCTCTTTCAGAAAGACTAGCTGCCGTCCCTGCCGTGGACTCTGTGTGTGCTGAGAGGATGCTTCCCGGTCTTCACTTCACTGGT